ACTTTGAAAGGTAAACACTGCCAACGACTCGGTTCCATGGCAGCCTCGCCATTATCAGTTGATGTTGGGAAAGCCTGGCGAGAACAAGCACTGTCATATCCTGATGCCTTTTCGAAGTTGACGGGATCTGGCAAAGCCAAGAGCTGCGGTTCGGCAGCTCAAAGTAGCACTGCGCACAAGAGTTGGCAGAGGCAAGGGCGCCGCTGGGAGTAGGTGCTGCCTCGCAAGCATCCGCCCTTCGACGCGCGCGTTTACTTCTTGGGGTCCTGACCCCCAAAACCGAGCCGAGAAGCTCAGCATCCTCAGGAGAGAAGAAGGCGCTGGCCGATGCCCGCAGCCTGCTGGGCGTTGAGGAGGCCCCTGATGGTGGCGACGATGCTGTGGAGACCGTCGACGCCGCCAAGGCGGCCCACCTGAAGTGCCAAAAGTGTGGGTGGCTACCTACTCGGGAGACGGCTTGCGTTTGCGCCTAGGAGGCGCGAGTCCACTGGAGGCCTCGTGTTGGTACAGCGACTCCAGGCAAGTCCAATGCAGCAGTCGATGAGAACGTCGGGGCATCAGCGCAGTCAGCTCGAACTCGTTTCGTCCGTCAGCGTGCTTGGACAAGTTATTGCGCGTGGCCGCAGCAAGGTGGATGACCGCTGCAAGATATCAATTTACGTGGCGAGCGAAGAGGCAGCAACATCGCTGGTGGACAAGCGTGATACTTACACTGCCTTTGCCTGCCAGCGCTGTGGTGCCATCAAGACAGTCAGCAAGGTCAAGCAGACGCCCTGCAAGGGTCGTCAGTCTGGCCTCAAGGGCATCGGCATTCGGTCGTACCTGCTCGGCGAGGAGGCCTTCCAGCGGCGCTACCGGCTGGGGCGCCAGAACTTCATCAAGTGGACCGGGAAGTCTGGCACCAGAGAGTATCGGCGCATGCGGCAGCAGGACTATGTCAACAGACCTGGCCAGCGAGCGATTGCAGCAAGGAAGAGACACATTTACATTGCAAAGCGCCTCCAGCTGCAGCAGTTGGCCCACTGCGCAGGCCAGCGGCAGCGACGGCAACACAGACGCCTTGGTTAGATGTACGGCCTGGCCGAGGTGGGCGGGCCAGTGCAGAGGAAAGCCCAAAGTGCCCACCTATCGCGACGCGGACGGTGACTTGCTGGACCCAGTGTTCGGCAGGCTGTATCCGTGCCACCGCAAGTTTCGCGACTAGCTCTACTCCGAGTTCGGTCTTTGTTTTTTGTAGAAAGTTTCACAATTCATGCAAGACCTTTCTGTAGAAAGTTTCACATCGTACTGCGTTTCTGTCGAAAGTTTCATCCTTATGTCATGATTCCCTAGGCGGTGGTGGAGATGAGACCGAGGATAACCAAGTTGACGAGCGGCCTGGCTTGATTGCTCACCCCTCGCGAGTGCTCGCCATCAACGTCACGTCCCTCGCCAACGCTGGGCGGCAGGAGATCTTGGCCAACGCCATGGCCGATGAGATGACGGAGGTCCTCTGTCTTCAACGAGATCCGACAGTTTTCTGGGCGACCGAGGTGGGTCCTCGACGCCGCCCGTGGGGCTGGCCGGGCAGCGGCGCGCTCAGCTCCACCACCTGCGGGGGCACGCGTTGCAGTGCGACATGGAGGCGCGGCTATGCTATGGCGGCCTCGTCTTGGACGTGTTTCAGTATTGCGAGATGAGCGCCCATCACATCGGATGGTTGGCATCAGAATGTCAAGAGCGACATTCCTTTCGGTGCGCGCACCTCAAGAATGCCGCATTGGCTGGGTGTCCAGCTTCCTGCTTTATGCCCAGGCCCTTGGCATAGACGGGCATCCCGTCTGCGCCTTCGGCGACCTGACTTGGACAAAAGCCTACTCGTCAACGCTTGGGCCTCGCTGCCAGGTGGCCGCCCAGACGGCGCCGACAACGGCGCAGGGAACGACGCCAACAAGGAGTTCATTGTTCGGTCCCCTCGCAACATCGCCGCCAGTGTGCCTGGGTATGTGGCTTCTGCTAGGCATGCCCCATCATGGCCTGGCACGCTGCAGCAGCAGCATTCCGTCCTACTATCGGCAGGAGCAGCGAGTGCGACATACTGCAAGATACCTTCCGCCACGCGAGCCGAACGGAGTCGAGAATGGGGGCCCTCCAGCAGGAGCTCGACTCGCGCTGCCCGCCGACCCTCTTGCCAGTCCTTCCCGAAGTTGGCGCCGTTGAGGATCAGTGGGGCCAGCGGCGTACCCGAGCCGAGATGGCCCTTCAGATTGGTGTTGAGCGCGGCTTCTTTGTTGTGGGTCGACGGGCTGAGCGGGGGGAAGGGTCGGGGCCAATTGTGCGCCCTGTGGGCTCTGGTGCCCTGCACCGTGCAGATCAGACAATCGTGCTGCGTTGGCCCCTTCGCCTTCGCAGACGATTCACCACGCATGTTCGCGAGGGGGGCGGGGGCTCGCCATCGGATATTCTTGGCGCTCAACGCTTTCGTCAGCATGCGCGCGCAGGCCCCGATGGAATCATTGCTCCCGGAGAAGATGGCCCGCCTACCTCCTCGGGCGCGCTGGGTGCCATGTCCGCGGGCGTCTCCAAAGAGTATCAGAAGACCCAGAGACAAACGACAGCCGAATGGCGCAAGAGGTTCGCGACTTGGACCAAGGACCTACACAGGCACGCGACCCCGCTCTTCAGGGCGTCGACGCCGACGCCCACCTTTGGAGCTCAAGCGATGAGGGGGGATTGGCACCCGCGGTGGCGCCCTCCCAGTCGTGCACGAGAAGCCGCTGGGCATCGACAGAAGTGGCGGCAACATGCTGCCAACGTGGTTTTTCATCACTCACAGTGTGATCGGCGGTGGTTACCGTCTCCAGAGGCTCTGGAATATGCGATTGATCATTCGCCAGGAGCTCCAGGATTCGACGGCGGGGGCGCCGAAGAGCTGAAGACCATCAAGAACGTTTATCTTTTGCTGGTGCAAGGGCTCTATGAGCTCTGGTGTCGGACCTCTTCTGAACAAAGTGTTTCCCTGGCGCGTTGTGGGGGTTCCCATGTCCGAGACAGATCTACGACCCATCATCATTATATATATATATATATATATATTGGTAGGGTGTTGGCTGAGTGCGTTGGGGTCCGCAATGCCGCCTCCTTGTGACAACCAGTGGAGTTGCAAGAGAGGTATATCAGTCGCTCATGCGATCAGTCGCTGGCTGTACGACGTTATTTAAAATGAAGCAGGAGCTGAGCTTGACCTTACTCGGGCGTGCGGCGGTATCGACCAAGAGATTGGAGAGACAGCTTTATCTCGCGTGCAGCTCCCGACGCGGTGGTGTGCACAGCCCTTGCAGCTTGGACTGGGCCAAGATATCCAAGTGTTGCTGGGCATTTCGCAGGTCCAGTTTGGCCAGAACGTGGATTGCCGCGGGGTGATTCGATCGCCCCCGCTGCCATGTGCGCAACCCTGCGCCCATGGCAGCCTGGCAATGGCCACGCCTACATGGACGACTGGAGTTTGGTAAACCGATCTAGCGAGCTGGTGGCAGACGGCTTGGCTGCTACTCAAGTCGTTGACAATGATTGTGGTTTCGGCAAGAGACAAGTTTGGAGTCGAGATGATGACCCCCCCAGCATCTTCGAGCACCTCGGCGTCAGGTGCAGACCGGTAGACCCCTTCTACCCCATCCTGCCCCGAAAGGGGTGGGACAAAGTCTTCCAGGCAATCATGGCGTTGAGTTCGATCCCTGGAGGCATGGATGTTCGAGAGCGATGTATTGGGCCTCGCCGCTTCCAGCGCCACTGCCAGAGGGGGCCCCTCGACTTCTTCGCCGCGCTGTGGCCCGCGCTTCGTCGAAGTGGTGGTGCCGAGGCAGATAGCGGGCACGGCGCGCGCACCTCCACCCCCGCTTGGGGGCTGCCACGTGCGCCCTCGACACAGTGGGTCACGAGAAGATCGCATGGGGCGGCTTCGTGGAGACCGCCGTTCGGGCTCACTGCGAACAGTTGGGACTCTCTTTTGTTCGCTATTCCGACAGCCAAGGATGTTTACTGGAATATTCCCCCAGTGACGACCACCGCGTGGTCGCGGGTCTCCGCGACTTCTGTGCGCCCAAACGACGCGTTTTTGGACGCGCAGACCGACGAGTCATGCACTTCGAACGGTGGCCCGAGTTCGATGTTTCCAGAAGGTTTCAAAGCAGCGGCATGATTCAGAGGGCGTCGAGGAGATTGACCCGAATTTCACGTCGCACAAATATTACTCCAAGTGGGCGCGCAGCCTGCCCGATGCTGAGAACAAAGATCATCTGTATCTTCCTTTCAGATGCGGTATCGTCGGAAACGCGTCGACCGTCAGGTAAGTCGTGCGCCGCCGGTGATGCGCTCTGGCCGCCCTTCCGCCGCGCGTCGGCCGAGTGCCCGGAGTTCGATCAAGTGCGATCCAGCATCGCCACCAAGTACCTGTTACAGCCCAACTACTGGACCAGTGTTCTTCGAGTGGTATCCAAGAGTGGGTGGGTGACCATCGGCCAGGGTGTTTAATTAGCAAGCAGAGCCCGTATGATGAGGGCTGGTTGCGAGCTGGCAGTTACCATCTTATCAAGGGCCCCAGATGAGCGACTACGTCCATTGGATGGTTAGTCTTGGAATTGAGGTACCACTCCAGAGCTAGGGTCTACCTCTCCACCATCTTCTTTTCCATTCCGAACATGGTCGTGGCCGTGTTCGCGTGCGCAGGAGGTTCAGGAGGCCTTGTCGCCGCTGCCCCCGATTCACCCGCCAGCTCGTGTGCCATGGATTCGACGTGTCGCGTGGCGCGCAGTAGCTGCTGGCTTAATTTCCCAGGCGCGGTTTTTTGACGAGCGGTTTGGATTTCGCCAGTGTATTTTGCAACGCGGCTTCGATCATCGATCCCGCTCGAAACAATGCTCTTGTGGTCTCGGCGGTCTAGGCAGGCAGCATCGCGTCCTGCTTGCGGATATCTTGCCATCGAGGTTGGGTGCCCCGCCCGCGGTTTCGACGTTGAAGTCGACATGGCGCGGCTCAGGGTCGTGCTGCAGGAGTCGGTGCTGGACGCCATGTCGGTCCGTTGCGGCAACATCACCGCAGCGTCGACGCGTCCGTGTTCCCCCTGAACGCTGCGCGCTTCGGTTGGCCGGCCAGAGTCGGTTGATCATTTGTGCCAGGGCAACGCGCCTAATGTGGACCGTCAATGTGCCACCTGACACGTAGCGGGCGCAGGGGTTCCAAACAGCAACAGGGAGACCGGCAGTGGTACAACCAGCGGAAGTACGTTTACGAGTCGGAATATGGGCGTGGGTCGGGGTGCGCGTAAGACATTGAGGACATTTACGGACCATACAGTCGGCCTTGATGAGTAGATCGGCCTGGCTAAGTCAACGGTAGCCTTGTGTCCTGTTTTTAAAGAGGCGTGTCTTTTACATTCCTACGGCGATGTATCCCTCGGAAAGGTCTTGTGTTCTGTCGCGTGTCCTCTCCAATCAAGTACCAAATGTAGTCGTTGCATCTGTAACAGTGCTGCCGCTAATGCGCGCTTAAAATCGCTCGCGCAGGCGGGCGCTCGCGCCCTCCAGATGCGCGCGAAAGAGACCCCTGCCGCGCGAGAAAAAAACGCGCGCCGCGTATCCTGAATGTCGCGAGCGGACGCCAGGGCGAGGGCCTTGGCGAGACAGCGGCAAGTTGTGGAGCGTGACCCCGTTGGTGGGAGCCCGCCTCCTCCCCCCATTCTCTCCCCGCCTCGCCCCTCCTCCGTCCTCATTCCCCCCTTCCCGTTTCCATTTTTCTTTTTGTCCCGTTTCCCCCCGCCTCCCTCGTTCTCTCGCCCCCTCCTCCCTTGCTCCCCCGCCGGCCGCCTCTGCCCATCCTGCCGTGCTGTGGCTAGCCGCTGGTGTTGCCGTCGCCGGCGTTCGCGCAGGTCCAGGCCGCCGAAGGCGGCCAGGCCAGCGAGGCGCTGGGCGCGCACCTGTTCGTGTGCGCATTGTCGTCGTTCGGCGAGCCGGCCACCGTCGACGCCGCCGTCGTCGTTTCGTCGTCGTCGTCGTCGTCGTCGTCGTCGTCGTCATCGTCGTCGTCGTCATCGTCGTCGGTCGTCGTCGTCGTCGTCGTCGTCGTCGTCGTCTTCGTCGTCGACACCACCGTCGGTTTCTTTGGCGTTGTCATTGGGGCCGCCGTCGCCGCGTCGACGTGCCCTTCGATGTCGTCGACGTCGCCGACGCTGCTGCAATTGTCGTCGTCGTCGTCGTTTTCGTCGTCGTCGTTGTCGGCGGCGGCGACGTTGGCGTCGGCGTCGGCGTCGGCGTCGGCGTTGGCGCCGTTGCCGTTGTCGTCGTTTTTCGCCATCGCTGGCCGTGGTCCGAGTCCATCGCCGTCGTCAGTCGTCCGCCGTCCGAGTCCATCGTCGTCGGCCGTCGTCCATGTCCGTCATCGTCGTCCGTGTCCGCCGCCGCCGTCGTTGGTGTTCTCGTCGTGTTTCGTCGTCCGTCATCGTCGTCCATGTGCGTCGCCGTCATCGCGGCGGAAGTGTATGTTGAGGCGGGCTCTCTGTGGGATGCGTCGGAGGAACGGGACGATTAGGATCAGGGGGTGGATGAACGAGCGTGAGAGCAGAAACCCAGTGAAGAGGAAACGGGATGATGATGCTGGTGATGATGATATGTAATGATGATGGTGTTGTTGATGATGATGACGTTGGTGGTGGTGGTGATGCTGATGATGGTGATGATGATGACGATGATGATGACGATGCTGCTGCTGATGATGATGATGACGATGTGTAGGTAATGATGACGAGGAGGCGGGGGAGGAGGAACAGAAGAGGATGGGGAAGAGAGCGAGGATGAGGACGCGGCGGGCGAAGATTAGGACCAGCGTGAGTCAAGGATGCGCCAGCGATGCTGCAATCTACCCTGTGGTCCCAAGTGCCCCCCTCACAAGTCTGTACAAAATTCGTTCTTCGCCGTCGCCTTGACTTACGAACTCCCCATGCACTTCACGTTCAGGCGGGAGCTCCGTTTTGAAAAGATCCGCTTTCCACCCTTGGCAGTTGAAGCGCACAGGTCAGGTCAGGCTTGTCTGCCCACAGGGGGCGGCCACAGGGCGCAGGCGGCCACACTCAGATAAGCAAAGCCATCATCGGCCATGTGCGCGCGATAATGTATTTATATGTGCAACCATATAGAAACATATAGAGATACGTCTATATACCAAATGTATATATATATATATATATATATTTACACACCTCATATATATACATAATATATATATATAAGAATATATATATATATATATATTATATATATTCATATATATATGTGTGTGTATATATATGAATTTATATGCGTGTATTCATATAGTAATGTATCAGAAGGGGGCGAGCAATCATTCATCGTCCATGGCTGCGTTGTTGAAACGGGGATCCGTGGTGAGGATTCTGCTTGTTGCGTTGTTGTTGTAATTATTGAAAACAATTATTGTTGATCCCCCCGCCCAGTGTACATAGGATCTTTCCGATTGGGGTGCCCCTCCCGGGGCTATCACCCTGTTTTTTATAAGAAAAAGCCTTGAGGGTCAAACTGTGTTGTTGGCCCCCTGTTTACAACAACAACGGCTCCCGCCTGATACCTCCTCACAATTTACAACAGATCGCGTTCTTGCTTGGGACGTCCTGGCAATTTACCACCGCCTCGCCGCACACGCCTGATACTTCCTGACAATTTATTGCAGAATCGCCTTCTCGCTTGGGCCTTCCTCCCAACTTACCACCTAACCGCTTCGTTTTATATATCTTCACAATTATTCAGATGCCGGTCCTCGACACTCAGGAATCGCGCTCCCGCTACACGCTACATATTGCCTGGCGGTTCAAGCAGGACTCAAGCTTGAACGACCCGTCCGCTCGACCCGCCCATCGGGGCCTGCCCGCCCGACCAGCCCGTTAAAAACTGCAGTCGCCGCTCACTGCCCTTCGCCCGCCTTCGATGCCCCTCGCTGCCCGTGCTGGTTCCGCGGACGCCTTCGATCGCTGCCCTTCGTGGCCCCGTTGCTGCCCTCAGTGGCCCCGTCGCTGCTATTTGTGGCCCCGCATTATATGCCCTTCGTGGCCCCCGCTCGCACGCGCCCGTCGTGGCCCCATACGCATGCCCTTCGTGGCCCCGCTGTCGCCCTTTGTGGCCCCCTCGCTGCCCTTCGTGGCCCCTTTGCTGCCCTCAGTGGCCCCGCTGTCGCCCTTTGTGGCCCCGTATACGAATACCCTTCGTGGCCCCCGCTCGCTCGCGCCCGTCGTGGCCACATATGCATGCCCTTCGTGGCCCCGCTGTCGCCCTTTGTGGCCCCATCGCTGCCCTTCGTGGCCCCGGTGCTGCCCTCAGCGGCCCCGTCGCTGCCCTCTGTGGCCTCGGATTTTATGCCCTTCGTGGCCCACGCTGGCTTTTCTCACGATTTACTTGGGAATCGTGCTGTCGCTGGAAATTCCTTCGCGATTCATGCAGGACCCACGCTTCAGCAACCCCCCTGCTCGACCTCGTCGCCTGGGCCCGCCTTCCGACCTGCCCGCTATGGGTCTGCCCGCCCGGTCTGCCCGTCTGGTTCTACCACTTGTTTTCTGTTCTTTCCCCTTCCACCCGTCCTCTCTTCCCTCGTTTTAGGGGCTGCACTAAATACACGTGGCAGGTAAAGAAGACATACCCCCAAGGCGGTACGATCGAAAACGACCAGGGCGGGTACCGAGATTTGGGGATATACGTATTGATTGGCGCGTGAGCAGATAGGAGCGAATAGTCTTAAAATGATTGTTGTTGTTAATGTTTGTTGTCGTCGTCCCAACCGCGACCCAACCGCGACCCACCCCGCGATCCACCCGCGACCCAACCCGCGACCCACCCGCGATCACCCGCGACCCAACCCGCGACCCACCCGCGACCCACCCTGCGACCCACCCGCGACCGACCCCACGACCCACCCGCGACCGACCCCACGACCCATTCGCGACCCACCCCGCGACCCACCCCGTGACCTACCCGCGACCCGCCCGCGACCCATGCGCGACCCACCCGCGACCTACCCACATTGTTTTAACGAATAAATCGGCGCTTGCGGCGGGCTAATTGTATAATTTGTGAACCTTCGGTGCCTGCGGCGGGCTTCTTCAGAGTCTCGCAAACTGCCAACGTCCCCACTGTCCCGTCACTCTTATCCGCATGTGCGGGGTGTTACGTTATATATATATATATATATACATATATATATGTATATATATATGTATGTATGTATATGTTTATATATATATAGAACACACTAGAACCATCGCGCGCGCTTCGCGCGCGCTCAGGTTCTAGCTAGGCTTGATCGGCTAACTCATGTAATATCGTGTTGGTCGCTTCTTGTGTCCAGGGACTCCCTTGGAGGCCCTGCGCAAGTCTCGGAGTCGTATATAATGGGAAGTGTGGAAACGCAGAAATCATTGGGGCCCTCAACGGCTTCCTGGGATCTTTTTTGGGAGGTGAGGGGGGTCTGAATTGGGGGCTGTTGTGCAAGAGTAGACTGGGGGCCAAACTTGAAAAAGAAAAGGAATTGTGGGATGTCCATGTTTTCCAGTTCGTCGGCGCTGTTCGGCGCTGTTTTTTCCCAACCATCCTGTAGTGTTGGGTCCTCGTTTTGAAGAGGCGGTGCCCCGCGTTCCTCTCCTCCTCTCTCCTCCTCCTTGCCTCTGCCCTCCGAATGTCTCTCTGTCGGCACACTCCTCACGCGTTTCGTGAATTTGCAGGGAGCTCCACCTAAGGTCCCAGCGGCGGAACTCGCATGGCATCCCCGCGCCCATTTTGGCACATCCCTCACACGTGGCGTGGCCCCGAAGGGAGCTCCACATAAAGTCCCAGTGGTGGAACTCGCATGGCATCCCCGCCCCATTTTGGCACGTTTCGTGGCCCCATAGGAAGCTCCACCAAATGTCCCAGTGGCGGAACTCTGAATGCATTGCCGCCCGATTTTGGTACACCCCTCACACGTTTCGTGGCCCCAGAGGGAGCTCCACCTAAAGTCCCAGTGGTGGAACTCGCATGGCATCCCGGCCCCATTTTGGCACGCCCGTCTCACGTTTCGTGGCCCCATAGGGAGGTCCACCTAAGGTCCCAGTGGCGGAACTCGCATGGCATCCCCGCCCCATTTTGGTTCGCCCTCCTCACACGTCCCAGTGGGTGAACTCTCATTGCATTGCCGCCCGATTTTGGCGCACCCCTCACACGTTTCGTGGCCTCATTGGGAGGTCCACCTCCATTTTGGCACGCCCTTCGCACGTTTCGTGGGCCCATAGGGAGTTCCACCTAAGGTCCCAGTGGCGGAACTCGCAGGACGGCGCCGCTCCATTGTGGTGCACCTCTCACACGTTTCCTGGCCCCATAGGGAGATCCACCGAAGGCCCCAGAGGCCGGGTTCGCATGGCGGCCCCGCCCTATTTTTTCACACACCCCTCACACGGTTCGTGGCCCCATTGGGAGCTCCACCGAAGGCCCCAGTAGCAGGGTTCTCATGGCGGCCCCGCCCCTGTGTGGCGCCCTCCTCACACGTTTCGTGGCCCCATCGGGAGCTCCATCTGAGGTCCCAGTGGCGGAACTCGCATGGCGTCGCCGCCTCCCTCAGAGGGAGTTCCACCAAAGGCCCCAGTTGCGGAACTCGCATGGCGCCGCCGCCCCATTTTGGCACGGCCGAGAGGCGACGGCCCTCGCCAGGGAGCTGGGCTTCACCGAGTTTATCCGCGAGGCTTGACCTGAGGAGCGGCCTCGTGCCGCGGGCGACCCGCGCGCGTCGCTGAGACCCTCTCGGGGCGACCAGCGCGCGTCGTGGGAACTCCATGCTGCGCTCTGCCCAACGTCTCGCTCGCTCGCGTCGTCGTTCTGCCCAGCGGCCAGAGCCTTGCCCGCTATCGGCCAGCCAGCTAGCTCTCTCTGCGCCGCGCAGCGGACGACCCGCGCGCGTCGCGGGGACTCCATTCGGG